CTGGGTGTGGCGAGGAAGCATGTCACATCTTACAGCAGCAAACTGGTACAAAAAAAGAGCACAACATTCATCCACGGTTTCATGAGAAACCTTCATAAACCAATTTCCTTTTTGGTAATAAGACATATGCCTACAGACTCATGCCCTTAAACTCTGCAACAAAACCTAAATCCAACCAAAACTGCAAATCTGTTTGTATGATCTCAGACCATAAACCTATCCTACAAATTTGAAAAAAAAAATTGTTATTTACCACACCGTGTCTCCCAAATACCATATTTGTTGATGAAACTTATCCTGTCTAACTATTGAGCAAAAGGTTTTAATGTGTTGCAAACAAGGAAGCTCATGGGACAAAGATTCCTCTATGAACACTGGGAAAACTAGAGTAACACTGTATTAATTATTCCTCACCATCAAATTGTGCAGTCACCTAAAATTGGCTGTGACGATTTTCAAGTTCCTGAACTCCAATAAATTTTAACTGGCAAGGTACACAGTCAGGCAGGTTAACATAAATTCCATTCTCAGGAACAATATGGCAGAGTTCTCAGTAGAAGCTACACTCCTTAGAGACAAATAAACTTCCTCCCTTGTTCAGGTGTAAACATTTACCTGATACACTACACAGAGACAGCGCCAAACCCTTAAACACACAAATATTGATGTAAATTACATGTGACTTCCTTTCCCAGTGTACACCAAGGTCAGAAAAATTATGCTCCCAAATCCTGAAAAGGAAAGGTAAAGAAATTGACATTTTGAAGTCGAGAGGGAATTAACCAATCATAAACCGGAGCTTTTAGTACAGAATTTCTTTGCTGTTGTTGTTTTACATTTAAAAACTGTTACACAACTGCATTTCAATCAACAGAATTTCTCTAGCCCTGTAGCAATAGGACAGACATAAACAGTTTTGTTGTGAGCTGCATGTACAGTACATGTATGTGGCATTTTCAACATCACTGAATCTGTTTTGGGGGATTATCAACCAATGGATATATAGGCTTGAATATGGGCAAAGGCCAACCATTCATAACAGACACCTTTGGCTTTTTATCGATATCACCTCCGATGCTGCACAGCCACAAGACATGTAAATTTCTGCTGTGGTATTCACGACTACATGATTAAAATGAAGTCTGCACATTCAAGGACACGGAACACGACTTGAACATTATCAATTTCCCCAAAGAGTACCACACCTCTTGTAGAACTTGCACTTAAGTGCTCATTCAAATCTGCAAATGTAAGCTAAAGACACAAGAGAAAATCCCAAAGTGAGAGGCTTCTAGGGCAACATCCCGTGACTTCCATCCACAGATTTTCGTTCCGTTCAACTGCCCATTGATATTCTCATGACAGTGCAGCCTGATTGATATCAAATGCATCATCAAACAATGCTGCGGCGCGGGGGACCCCAAAAGACGGCCCCTCTAATAAATTGAGAGTATTCACCGACACGGACATGAGCAAACACATAATGGGGGAGACGCATTTCCTGCTGACGGGTGACATTTGAGAGACGACGACGGCGGACAAGCTCAGAACGACTGAAATTAAAGAGGAATATCCACTGTATAGGGTCTTGCTTGATGAGTTTGGAATAAAGGCAGTATCGAAAGGTTGACAAGTGAACAATGACTGAGTGATTCAAACCTACAAAAATACCAATCACAGAAACTAATTCAAGAACAAAGAACCCACCACAACTGCTCATTCAAGTACACAGAATCAATCACAGCAACTGATTTAGGAACAAACAACCAATCATATCTGCTCATTCAAGTATACAGAATCAATCACAGCAACTGATTTGGCAACAAACAACCAATTATATCTGCTCATTCAAGTATACAAAATCAATCACAGCAACTGATTTAGGAAAAAAGAACCAATCATATCTGCTCATTAAAGTACACAGAATCAATCACAGCAACTGATTTAGCAACAAACAACCAATCATATCTGCTTATTCAAATACACAGAATCAATCACAGCAAATGATTTAGGAACAAAGAATCAATCGTATCTGCTCATTCAAGTGTACAGAATCAATCACAACAACTGATTCAAACCAAACGGCCAACTCCAGGCACAGAGGAATTGGGAAAATCTGAAACCCTTCTCAAGAGGCTGTGAAAAATTAGAAAGGTTTATGGCACTTGACAGCTGCTGGAGGGCGCTACTTTACACCACAACGCCACAAGCATGGCCATTTTATTCAGTAGAACACTAAAGAAAGTAGATGGCTATATCAATTTCATTGACCATTGCTATGAAACACAAAGTGTACAAACATATTCATTTCTAATTTGTTTTTCAGCTGAAACTTATTTTTTCAGGAATTCTACATTCTTAGTGTAGCTGCAAAATGCTTTCCCTTCATTAGAGCACAGATAAGTATAAGGCAGGGTAAATTACACCCTGACATGAGTGGCTGACTAAAAGGAAATAAGGGACGGTTATAAATTACCAATTGAATGGAATTGCACAATGTGCGTTGCTAAGCAACTCGCTGCCGGATATTGTGACAATGCAGGAGCAACATGCAGACAATAAACATGTCTTCCGAGAAAGGACCGTCAGTGATAGATCACTTGGTGCAGTAGACGTCTGAGCAGAGAGGCATGTAACAATGGCATTTATGCTTTCAAGCCAGAGCCTTCCTCCATCCCCATGGGAAAAACAAAAGAAACTGGAGCACGTCAACGTGACATCTAAATGCCGAAATTTGCCAAATGTATCAAGATTTAGGAAACTGAGACAGGCTCAAGTACACTGCACTTTACTCTGAAACATTAACAAAAGCTACAACTTTGACAGTACCGAGTTAATGCCCACACTTGATAAACAAAATCCATCGTGCACAGTGAAACCAGAATTTAAAAAAAAAAATTCCTGGACAGTCTGGGGTGAACTGATGGCTAGCATGTTGGATGAAAGTCGGATAGAACTGGGCGAGTCGAGAGTACATCATCTGGGTCGGCAGGAGAGAACACCGCTTGACAACAAATGAGAAGATTCTTCGTCTCTGCTCAGAGTTATCTACCCAAGCTGGCCTTGCAATCATTCAACATTGGCCGAGTACCTGAATGAAGCTGCCCTTTGGGTTTAGTTCCTGAGTATACAGTCTAGAAACCAACTGGAGTCACTCGGCATCTTCTGGCTTTGACACTTGGTGGCAGCAGAGGGACTGGACATACTATAGCCTGGTATGCTAAGGGCTCAAGGCCACTCCTAAAATTATGAGATCATCTGAGCCCCCACAAATAGTTCCCATAACTATTGACTGCCATTTTACATCTTGTTAAGTGACAGCTGGCCACAGAATATCAATTAGATAAATGAGAATGCTGAACTTAAAAGCAGCCAAACGGGCATCCTTGTTTTCCAACAAAATAAAATATTCCACAGAAAATTCTCTTGAAAGATACACACATGTACTGCTAGAATAGAGCTCCAGACATCAAAAACATGCTACCTCTTCACATCAAACCCTGAAATGCGAGCTCCAAATCTTTCCTCAAATGCACTTTCCTCAACGGTCTTTTCCATTGTCAATGTTATTGTCATCAGGAACATCACAACTCGAGCACTCATTTACAATTGAATGGGCAAATAAAGTCTTGATTCTCATTACTGTGATAAATTAATGCAACGGTTCAGTACTTTTCCACATCTCCTGTACGCTGAGAAGGCTGCACAGAACCAATAAGAATCAAGCCTGCGTACGAAAGCCATGTTGACTTTATAGTTTGAATGAGTAGGTAAGAGTGTTAGAGCACACAGCCACACAGAGGCTGGCAAGAAATGTAATGTATAAATATTTACAGAAGGCTTCACAGTGGAGTTCTTCCCCTTTTGCAAATACCTGAGACAGCTTGATCAGCTTCCTAAAAATCAATCAGACGACAAGGCCTACTTCTGCGGGTCTAGAACCCTGAGCCTCCGAAATCCTTTTGAGGTGTACTGGGAGACTAGGAGGATTTTGCATGGTTGAGGAAGTCACAGGCCAGCCACTGTTACTTGACATAGGGGCTCGATTGCAACCTCAAAAGTTGAGGTACAAATGGCAAAATTGTACACTTTCTACTGCACCCACATATATTTCGGTACACTTCTTGGACAAGAACAGGCCTTACAGTCTGCCTTGAGCGGAAGCACCCCCTCAGTGGTTGAAAAGAGCCATGTTGGTAGGAGGTATTCATTTTGTTGGTAGCGGCGTGACCGGTTGAACCATAACACATGCATTTCATAGTAGCCTGTCAAGCAGTGAAGTGCAGTTTCCACCTAAGGAGCAAGCATTGCTAGAAAAATNCAGATACTCTGCCTTGACCTGAACCACCCCCCTTCAACAGCAAAATGGAGGTTGGTTGGTGGGGATTGTTTCATTTGGGTTCCCAGCCCGTAGGCAGATGCCGTGCATCCAAACATAAATCGGTTGCATGCATCCTGCCCCAAATGCACAAATGTGACCCACTCTTCGAAAATGAGTCTTAACCCCTTCGCGCCAGGATTCTATTGACCGCGACTGCTGGGCTGTGGTAAGCCCTGAATGGAGGGCTTTGTCCAGCAGCAGGCCCCATTGAACCAGCAGCTGCATGGTGAATAGACTGTATGTGTGGTATGCACTAATTCTCACACAAAGCCGCGGCTCTTGCCGTCTCCCAGAGCGAAGGGGTTAAGTCGCCAGGGTGTCTTTTTGAGTTTGCATTTGTATTGGAAAGAGCAAATTGAGTTTTTTGTTTTGATGTATCACTCAGTTTGGTATCCTGATGAAAGTGGATACTCCATGGTGAAAAATGCTGTGGGTTCCTATTGATTTTCACTGTGCAAAATCATTCTGAAGGACTTTTTACTCCAAAGTGGCTCTGGCAACTTAAGACTCACTTTCACGGAGTGGGTCACAAATGTGAGTGAGCGCACGCATCGTGTTGCCACCATTACTGTTACGTGAAGGCCCACCATCTTACAGTGACTCTTGAGTCTTGACTTACCAGTTCCAGTTTCTTCTTGTTAGCCTCCGTCTCTCGCCGCTGTCGGTCTGTCTGCTCCTCCTTCAGTTCCCGCAATTCCCTCTGCAATCGACGGACGGTCTCCTGCATCTTCTGGTCCTTGTGGCTCATGTGGTCGTGCTCTGAGCTCATCTTCTCGATGTTTTCCTTCAGTTTCTCCGCTTGGTTCTGTTTTTTTTTTACAGGAAAGAATTCAATATTTCATGATTGATTTGGTGGTGGAATTGTTCAGCGAGCCTCTCAAAGTTTGGTATCACACACATGTTCTCGCTGCATCGCCACCTAATTCAGAAGGCAAACGACCCTGATTTGAAATGTCTCTAGCTTCGGCTGCATCTTGGGCTGCAGGATGATTTTTTTTAAGGTTTATCGCTAGAACCAAAAGAAAACTGCTCCACATTTTGGGCTCACATTGAAAAGTTGATGTTTCCATAGCAGAAAAGTGAAGCTGTGTTGAGCCGTAGAGTTTTGGCTCAGGGGGCTAAATCCACAAAACTTGAAGCCTCAAACCCGAGCATAAAATCAAGGTTTGAAACCCTCCATAAAGAACCTTTCCATTCAGTGCGGTTCCTTTTCTACAACTTTTAAAGCCATGCATTTCCCAATCAACTGTTGTGTTCTCTGCCCTCTTTTCCAGTGACCTTTGACCCAGGTTGCTCTGTACCCACCTCATATTTCTGCCTGGTAGTCTTCTCCAGAGCCAGCCTGGAATCCAGATCTCGTACTCTGCCTTCTAACCTTGCCAACTGAGTCCGGTCCACCATGGTCGAGGTCATGAACTCCATTTTGCTTTGGATCTCCGAGACCTGGGAAGAAGAAGAGAATATTAAGGGATGTCATCTATTAATGTGAGAAGAGTGATTCGTTTGATCAAAGATGGTGGCTTCAAGTTACACAGAATTGAACTCTCACGACCTAGAAACTGACATGCATTACTCATAACCTTGGCTATTTCAGTTTTTGTATAAAAATACCTGAAAAGGGCAAACGCGGAGATATCTCACGATAAACACTTTGGCTAACAACAAATACCGGACTGTAAGTAACAGGAACCCTGTCTTCGTCCGCTGGGATTTTCTGAAAGCAATGTGCTGACATGTACAGCTGTCACTTTCCATTAGGCAAAATGTTGGGAAAAAACTAGGGTAACCAACCGTGCCCTATTATTCCAAGAGGTTTATGAGTCCCATAGGCAGTGGGCACTGTACTCCTAAATCAGGTTGTTATGAGGGGGTTAAATGTAAATGTCAAAACAACATTTTTTTGTTCATTCCCGCCTCCACAATATTAAATGTCATAGATTTGTTGGCACCTTGCGTTTCAGACAGGTGTAATTTAATTACACCTCAGCTTCACATTGTCATCAACTCATATTATTGAGCTTGGAGTGGGCAGTGTGGCAACATGCTAAATTAAGTTTGGCTGCTACAGTTATGGCTGAAGAGCTTGGTTTCCCTCTCGTATATCAAAATTTCCTCTTCACAACTATCGTGTTTCTGACGATTTGTAAGGCCGTTATTGGAGCCCACAGCAATTAAAAAAAAAATGGCTAACGGTCTCACTATCATGATTTAGTCTTCAAAGCATAAGGTTTGGGTTGGGATTTCAGGTAGAAATTCATACTTAACATACAACAATGATGAATAATTTGGTAAACTTTGCCAAATCTTGCAGAACTGCTTTATTGATATGCTCAGGCAAATACTTTTGCCCTTTGAAAATTATTTCCCATGGTTTTCTAAATATATTAAAGTACATGTATTATTTGACATTTTGATTCTCAAAGACAACTCTTTGTTTAGCTTACTGTAATATTTGGTTCAATTTTCCTTTTCAAACACTAACATTTCCCCAGACGCATGTATACATCCATTTCCTGGGGAGGCTTTCTGTCTTTTTCTAAATAAGCCTGATGGAATTGGATGTGTTTGACTGCTCATTTTTGGAGTACCTGTTTGAGGCAGGAAAACTGCCGTGTGCTCAGCAAACTGTTCGTTTGTTGACTTTTAGTCAAACGGTATGAACTGTGCAAACTTAGAAATGCCCGTGGAGAGAGTCTTTGGTCAACAGAGTGCGCGGGAAAAAAAGTGCCAGGGACCCCCTGTATCTGTTGACTTAGGACGGACGCGGAAGTGGAGGAGTGGAGACGACACTTCGTTGGCACGGTAATGACTAAGCCTGGCCTGTATTGATTGGCTGCTTTGAGAGTGAGCAGCGTCTAAAGTACGAGTGACTTGTGGTTTGAAGCTGGGGAGAATCCTTGCCATTCGTAGGCAATCTTTGAGAGGTGCGCCGTGTAAGGTGTCACACACTCGAGGGCTTTCCGAAAAAAGCCGGTTGGCTTCATGGTGTTTTGTTAATTAATTAGTGTATACGCTGAACGTTGACAAAGTGTTATGTTACAAGCTCAGACCCGGGGAAGGGCATTTTGCAAGATGTTGGTGTAGGTACAAGTTGTTGATGTTTGAACAATGATGATGAGCCCACAGGGGGAGCCAATGTTCTTGGAGGGAGAGGAGAGGTGCTAGCTAGTCAGGTGCACATCAAAGTGCACCCTCTGCAGAGAATGCATTGAAAAATGCAAAAAAATGATCGGCAACAACTTCAAATGACTCTAAAATGGAAAGAATTTGAGGCTGTATCTAGGGCACAAGTTAAAGTTGACCCCTCAAACCTCATCGACTCCCAGTTTGAAACTGTCCCTCCATCCAACAACTAAGCAATTGGAACCCTTATAACACTCAAACTGTTAGAGGTGTGCCATACAGAATTGGGGTTTTTTTTTGTCCAGAGTTTTAGGCCGTGGAAAGATATGCTTTGTCCATGGTCAACTAGCCTTTACCACAGCCAGTTCATGTCCAATATGCTGATTTTTTTGATTGGTCTCATCTGAGGTACAGTCAATCATTTGTCATTGGTGCATTATGTTTATTTGGGTCAACAAAACAACTCAAAATTTTAAGAAGGGTGCCTAAAAACAAATCTGATGAAGTTTCAGCTCGGTGAATACTATATATATATATTCCGAGATAAAACAAAATTCCAGGATTTCAATTTCAGATCACAACTTGCGGAGTCACGTTTTGAATTGCTCCTGAATTCAGAGTCTGGGACATGTTCTCATGTTTAGTTGAATGAAGCTACGCGATGTCACACACTGAAGTGATGAATCGCAGTAACTGCATGCACACATGCTGCGTCAACGCTTGTGTGCACTTTTCATGGCAGTTTTCCAAAAATGCCTCTTAAGATGCATCGTTGGAAGTGACCTTCTTTTATTGTTTTCTTCAAAATGACAGCTTGCCAGAAAGAATAAGTTCACCAAGAGTTTTGTCCCATAACCATCTTTAAACTTTAACCACTTCCTGCCGGCTGGAATTTGCATGTGCAGGATGAGTTCCTGGGGGATTTTAAAGATTTTCCGTTTTCAAAATTCTTCAAAAATGCATAACTTCATTTTAACGTTTACACCCACACAAATAACTGTCTGGTGGCTACTCTTATCTGACAGGCAACCTTCACTGATGCCTGAGTGTTTCAGCCAGGCCTGCTATCTACTAAAGAGAACCTACATGTAGATTGTGTGGTGTTGCATAATTTCCTTTGTTTCCCAAATTGGCCCAGTGCGTTGCTGAATGCCAGTGGCATCTTTTCAAATGCGGCTAGATTAGCGTGCAGCGGTACTGTATCCCTCATAGCTGGAGCACTGGAGCGCTTTTGTCCCCGCTGATAATCCGCTGGCACTGAATACCACAAACAGTGGTATACTGTTTCAAAATAATGATGGATTACCTCCGCTCATGCCAACTGAAAAATGATGGCAATTCCCAGCAACTCAGTCTTCCTTTTCGAGTACAGTCTTTCGTTACAAGGCCCAGTTCTTTTGTCCGATATTTGGGCACCCCAGCTATGCATACAAATATAAGGTGCCCGGTTCCGGAAATACTGGGGGCAAGAGGTTAAAGTTAGTTTTTGAATAACTGCAGAAAATGTGAGTCTTTTGTGAGTCTGTGAAGTTCTGAAAAGAACTGTATAAGAACTCAACATTTCTGACAGTGTGCTCTCATCATCGAGACTCCTGACATGGCGCTACTACAAACTTAGTCCTGTCCCTGACGTCAGCAAACCTCCAAATATTATCAACCGTAGCTACTTGTGCGCTGAATGGCACCAAACAATGGCCACAGACCTCATCCGAGGTGGGTGGGACTTAAATTCGGCCAGGCTATTTACAACCCTAGCTTCACTAATTAGTAACAGCTCTATTGTAGCATAGTTCGAAGATAACAGGAAGATCCAGGCCCTAAGGGCTGTGCTTCACCTGGCTATTGATGGCAAAGCCCCATCCCAGGTTCTGCCTTCCTTCCCAAGTTTGGTTGACGGTAAGTCAACAATGCATTAAACTTCGGCGGAGACAGCTGTGAATGTCAAACCTCAGAAGTCAGTGAAATGCAAAAAGGTACAGTACTTGAACAAAAATTCAATATTATTCTTTCGAGCAGGAGAGCAGGAACAAGGCCAGAGAGCCATCAGTACTCAAATGGACAAAACTACCAGCACCTACCTTCTCTTCCAGGTCATGTTTGTCTTGCGTTAGGTCACTGATCTGTACGATGTAGTCGTTGACCCTAGCCTGGTCATTGGAACTCTGTTTCAAAGAAAAAAAAAAGTCTGACCTTACAACTCCTCCCCTTCAAAAAATCCTCTGAGACAAAGACTAGTTGGAAAGGAAACTCAGGATCAAGGGGTGGGTTTGCTTTTTGAGGAGGGCAAACTTTGATTTGCTGCTGCAATAGCAAGTACATGTAGAGACTGAAAGGACCAAACATCCAGAATGGTCTTGATGAAAATCTCATGCTTTGGTGGCATTGGAGCCGGAGCCACCAGAATTCAAGGGCACAATACAGAACCAATGCCCGCCACCTTGACAGAACCCTCCACCGCGTGGGGTGGGGGTGGCAGTCCTTGTGATTTGGAAATTGCAGGCGTGCGAGAAAAAAAATCACTCCTAGAAATTTACAGGTGTGCAGTTTTTCTTGGCGTGTGATTTTGAGATGCAAGCTGAACAATCTGGTATAGTCATGATTCCATTCAATTCAAGAGCTCACACGAGGGGTTTGTACTTGGGCCAGTTCCAACCAAATTTGTGACATTTCATTAGAGTCTTTGTAAGGTTTTGACATGTGTAATTAATATTTTGGGTAGCCAAATTATGCAGAAGCAGATATCTTGCACGCTTTCACACAAGTTTAAATTATGTCTGGAGAAGACAGACACTGCAGATACATGTACATATGTTCATTTGTACTTGGGTAGACAGACGACTGAATCAAAGTGTGTTGGCGGTTACTTTAAAGCTATCTATTATGATAATACACTGCACATGGTAACATAACTGAGAATTATCAATTTGTCAATGGATTTTAATAAAATAATTGGAAATAAATCAAATTCTTCATTTAATTTTTCCAATAAATCTCCCAATTATGCAAAGTTTAAAATTGGATCTACAAGATTTTATTGGGAAACATTAGCGTTACGTGTCTGCACACACAAAAGATCTGCTGCGATCCATGCTGGCGTGATCTCAACGCGGCTTTCACGCACTACGTGGCGCACTCTGATTGACAGGTCTGGTTCCAGTCTCAACCTTAAAGGAATTCACTACTCACTACGCATTGTGAAAGCATGTCGACTTGAGTAATAGCCCAGATTTCTTCCAAAAATGCCATCGTTGTGATGGGAATAACTTACAGGGCAGACATCTCCACGAAACACTTGGAATAATCAGGGAATTCATTGGGAAAATGTGACCGAAAAGTAATGTGATCTCATGGCTCCACCAAGCACTGCATGGACTATCAAGGGGCTGTTTAAACTATGGAAAAAGCATGTTTTACTACCACCATTAAATTTCGATTTAAGTGCATGTGTTCCGGAGCTGTCAAATGGTTTGCAATAGTCGTGTTCATTCTTGTACAAAAATCATGATACACTCAGTCATGTGAACTGAATAATTTTGGTTTGTCTTGAGGATGCAGAATTTCACAATGAACAAAACTCCAAACATGGTCACAGCGGTAAAGCTAGTAAAAGGCTAGTGATCCCCAAACTCTCACACATATAACAGAATCATTTACCTGTATTTTAATTGGTTCACAAACTGACTAATAGCATCTCAACAACCACGTCCTTCCCTCTGCTTTCGCCTTACCCCACCCTGTACCCGATGTCACCCATCACCCACCTCTTAAAAGTACTCAAGTAGCACACAATCAGCAGTCATGCTTGTTCACTGTTATGCTATACTTGCGAGCAAAGTTTTCCGAAGTGTGTTGCGAAGTTTTGCATAGCGCACGAACATGTTTTGTGTGAGGAAGGCTGATTGGCCAGTGACTACAACTGCTCTCAGTTTCGTCCAATGGTGTTTAAGTTAAGAACTCTTCACTCACCACAGATACTGACCATACTGACAACCCTGGCAATAACCCTACAGCCCAGAAACAAAACGTCCCCTTGCGCTTCCAATGTGTGTGACGTGTACTTCAAGCCCGCAGTGCAGTCTGGTGTATGTAGCATTATGCATGCAGCAATGCTTGCTCGCAGCGCTGAGTGACGTACAGTGTACATGTACATGTGCTGAACGATTGTACACTGACAGAGCCGTCGCACACGACTGTTTCGCCGGGAGAATTAAAAATGATTCTGTCATTCCTGTTAGGTAAGCCTAATGTTTGATTCTTTTCGTTTCATTTTTCTCACAAATGGCAAAGTATAATTATAAAGGAGTGTGTCACGAATTGTTTCAGGTGTGCAATTATTCACACTTCTCGGGAAGCTTTTAGGCATGCGATGGCGTGGGAGTGCCATCGCATGCCTTAACACGAAAGGACTGGGGAGTGGGGAGCTAGCGCTTGGCATCTTTACCTGCAGCACCAGCGCCTTGTGCTTCTTGAGCAGATCGTTGAAGTCCTCCTCCTGGTCCTCTTGTCTCGTCTGGACATCGTTCTTCTCCCGGTTCAGCTGGGAGATCTTCTCGTCCGCCTGAAAGGAGATAAACATGGCCTAACATAAGACACTGGGGATACCAGGGAGCAATGGGCTTTTTTCCTGCGGTGGCCATATAACAATGTGCCTGACTATTCTGCTGTAGCTATAGGGCGTGCCTCACTCTGAACATTTTTTTTCATTTCGGCCCAAAAAGTGACCTGTTTATCAATATCCTAAATTTGGAATTGCCCTTTGGAGCACAATCCTAATTAAAAAATAAAAAAAACAAAATTATACCAGGACTGTAAGACTGCCCGCATAGGACAAAGGTCAATTTCACTGAGCTATTAGTTAGACAAATTTGCTAAGATCTGAAATTTGCTGGCCAAGAACAGAGTTAGCCAAAATGTGACACAGAACGCTATGCTTGTGATTCTAAACCCATGACCAGATTGCGGTTCTCAGCTGATTTGTAACACGCAAAATGACTCTGCAGTAATTTTCTGCTTGGCAGAAATTGGGCTCCGGCTCAGTGCATATTTGCTACAGGCTCCATTCATTAACTACGTCCTGAGCAGAGGAGGTCTGAATGGTTACTGTCACTGATGGACACTTTGGCCCTTTTTACATTATATGCCCACACTCAGGTACGTTCCTGCAATGTGACAAGCCCACACAGTTGTGCGCATTCAGATGAAACCCGGTTGTATGCACTATGGGTACCTCCTCAGCTCTCATTAATGAGCTACAAAGCACAATCTACAATTTGCACAATCCATGGAGTGTGACCGACTTTATCTACAAGCGTAGAAATCTTCGATGTCCCTACAAATAAAGATCCTGGCGTACAAAGGGTTAACCGAGGATAAAACAAAGTGTACAGAATGACAGGTGTACCCAACGAATGGCAAGTTCTGTACCTCAGCTTTAGCCCTGCTGACATCCTCCAGCTGGTTCTGTAGCTCCGCTAGCTCGTTCTCCATGCTCTGCCGGGCCTTCACCGCAGCCATGGTTGCGTACTGAGAATCCTCCAGCTGTTTGTCATCAGACAAAAGGAAAAAAAGGGGGCATTTGAATTCATACATATTCAGTGACCCCCACAGCCCCAATCCGTCAGTCACGCTGATTTTTTTTTGCTTGTGTCCAAAACATTTGGATTTGCTCCACAAAAAATTCTTACGTCATCAATTCAAAGAAACAGAAAATGAAACTTAAGGAGGGGGGGGTGAAATTTTGCTTCCCGACTTCATTTCTTCCAGTGTGTTCAGTTTTCCATCAAAGCGGTGAAAGTGGTATGTACAAAAGGCAGAGAACTACGGGAGATCAGCCATGGTTGATGGATGGGTTAGGACACGACTGTACCGATCTCGCGGGCCAGTAGTGAAGATGTTATCGGGAAATCCTGGCTCTGTATATTAATACCATGGAATCCCCCCCTCCCCAGACACGTCTGGCCATTACCTCATTCTTCAGCTGCTTGATCTTGGAGCTGCTGGGTGCCGAGGCCTTCTGCCTCTCTAGCATGACCTGGGCGTCGTTCAGCAGTGCCTTGGTCTTCTTCAGGTCTTTCCTCAACCGCCGCTCCGTGTCGCGGTCTGACGCCCGCGGGTGCTCCTGCAGCTCGGCCAGCTTGTGCTCCAGGTCCCGCTTCTGCCTCATCAGGCTCTGCCGCTCCTTGTAGTCTTCCTCTATCTGGTTCTCCAGCTGTTTCAGCTGAGAAAATGGAAAAGAGAGGCAAATCCTAATTTGTAGCAGTGCAAACATTTGCTCTGCCTGCACAGGGGTACATTAAGGCGAAACCTGTGTCCATCATTTTATACCCACCCAAACTACCTCATCTTCCCAACTATGGAAGGTCTTGAGTGGCATCTCTCTACACATCCTGAGCCTCCAAATCAATTTGAGCTAAGTTCTGCTTGTCAAGTGGCACCTCTCTCACTTCCAGCTCCTACTGAGAGGTCTTTGTTACCATCACAAATCCCACCTATAGGCATTACTACTTTGTCTTTGTCTACTCTAACAGACCTTACCTGTTCTGGAAGATGTTCCTAGATTCCTCGACCTCCTCCATTCCCTACTGAGAGGTCTTTGTTACCATTACAAATCCCACCTTTAGACACCACTACTTTGTATTTGTCTACTCTATCAGCCCTTACCTGTTCTGGAAGGTGTTCCTAGATTCCTTGACCTCCTCTAGCTCTTTCTAAGAGGTCAATTCTCCTGTCTATATCCCATCTAAGTCTTCTAAAAGCACCTTTACCTACTCTCCGAGCCCTTACCCTGTTCTGGAAGGTGCTTCTGGATGCTTCCACCTCCTCATCCTTGGCCTCCAGCTCCTTCTGGGAGGCCTGCTTCTGCTTCTCCAGCTGCATCTCCAGCCTGAGCTTGCTCTGTTCCAGCTGCAGGATTTTGCCAGCCTGCTCGTCCAGCTCCTCCTCTTGGTCCTCAATCTTGGCTTCCAGCTCCCGCTTCTGGCGCTTGATGGCCGCCACCTCCGTCACCTCCTTGCTGCCGTGGGAGGACAGGTCGCTCATCTCGCACCGCAGCTCCTCGATGCGCTTCTCCTTGATGCCCACGTCTGACCGGATATCCTTGGAAGAAAAAGAACAGACCTTGAAGTCGCTTGATCTCTGATCCTTTCTTGTGATGAGAACTTATTCATTCAGCGAGGGTAAATAGTTTATGGACTTCCCCTGTCTTCACCCAGAGAAGAGCCCTGATCAAAAACGAGGATTGACCCATCAGTCCCCACTTTCAAAATACACAGATAATGTACCTCACAGGAGCTTCCTTTTCCCATTGATTTCTAACCTGTTCCTGTCTACCACAAATAATGTTTAGTTTACAGAAAAGCGGTTTATGGACGAATGCGAAAGTAAACGTGTGGTAACTTGAGGTTTTATCGTGAAGTGCAAAACGCTGTGAAATATCGTGAAACCTTGAGGTACTGCATCCCACTGGTATTAACTATTGTCACAATAGTGAAGGAAAAAATCACAAATTTCCTTACCCAAATGTACCGTTTAAGTAGAACGGCAAAGTCAGTGACATGATAAAAGACAGAAACTCTCAGCATGTTCCTCCTGGCCCTTGATCTCTGTAGGTGTTAACTTCAACATTTCGACCGTCCCAACCTCTCAAAAAACTCCAAATCCCCTAGTTCCTCAGTTTGACGCCAATAAGTCAATTTATTTGTCCTTTACCTCCAACTCCTGCCGGAGGATATAATTGTCGCTCTGTAGGGCTTCCTTCTCTCGTTGCAATCTCTCCTTGACCAGATGCTCCGTGTGGAGATCCTGCTGAACTTTGTGAAGCTCGGCGTCAAATCTAGACAAGCCAAGCGATATACAGTAAGCTTGACGAACAAAACCAAAAAGACATTAAACTGTGCTCCTAAAAGCCTTCATGCTGGTGTGGGTACATTGGAACGTAAGCAATAAACAAGCAAAGTAAAACATGGTAATGCACCTCGCTAGAGTGTAAGCATAACATTTCTCAAAAAACTGCATAGGTTACAGCTTAAGCGTCAACTCATACTTTTTAGAAAAAAAATCTGGCTTTAAGCACTTGCTAAAAATTATGAGGGTACAACAGCTCTTGCTACTAATCCTTAATCCTCCAATTTCATAATAACAAAAGTTCTTGTGTACTACCAAATCCGCCTAAATTGACATTCTAGGTGCTTTACACATAATAAAATCATTAAAATGATCATAGCAAAGTAAACCTTAGATCAAAAAGCAACAATTTAAAATCGACTTAAACCAATAAGAAATTTTACGAATCTTACATGTAAATACACAAGTTAAGCCAACCAGGAATAAAATATCAATCTAAATTTACATATTACATGTTAAAAGTTCAAGTTCAAAATGTGAATTAACACACCGAAATTTAAACAGGAAAAAAAACGTAAATGTACAGAAACACTGTAAGAGCAAACAAACACAAAATATGGACTTGGACAAACACAGAAACAAAACAACGAGAACAAATAAGACAGAATAATTTTACGTACACTCTTGGGGTTAGGGTTAAAGGTGTGGCTGAAAAACATTTCAGAATTACTCATGCTTAAAAAAGTAACTCATCAAGTACGTCACATAAACGACAGTTTCCAACTGGACTATACAGTATATGAGGTACTGAAGCAGAGTTGGACTGAAAAAAAACCCAGTTTATTTACAATTGTAACCGTAACCCTCAAGCCTACTTTGGTTAGAAACCCTGCCAGACACATGCAGTCTGCATCATTTGTCAAAGTGGCTTGCCTGCCCAGTGTAACAAGATCCAACAGGTCAACTCTCCCCAAGGCAAGACAGCCTGGGAGTCTGTGGTTGCCAATCACCACAAGATCAAACACTATTCAATGAGACAAGCTCCCATTGTCTCTACATGACCACTCTGATTGGCTGCTATTGATAGGCAGGTGCGTCAAAGTGCATCAGACTTACACTTGATGGGCTGTGCTGCTTCTGGCAGGGTAAGGGATAAAGAACTGAATTACCGTTTTTTTTTCACTTTCATCACATAAATTATTTCCATGACAACTTAAGTTCAGAATCTAATCAACGTACTTACTTTCTTTGCTTCTTTTCCAACTCAGAATTCCGTGCCTGCTGAGATTCCAGGTGGAGTCTGGTATCCTGCGCCTCGCCTGTGAGTTTCTGCACTTTGCGCTTCAACACGCCGACCTGCTTCCGCTCCTCCTCGACCTCTTCCACAGCCTCTGCCAACTGCAAGGAAAGCAAGGTCATTGATTCTCATCAAACTTGGAAAAGGGCCACATAGCTGAAAATTCACTCCTTGCAAAGGGGAAACATCCTTTCAGGGTCCGATTCTAGTGTCAATCCAGATAACTTCAAGAATTTGTGTTTACGTTCAAATTCACCGTCTTTGACTCACTGCATGCTGCAAGCTACACTCGCCCAGTAAGACCACTGGTTCCCCATGAGAGGAGTGAAGGTTCCTTGTTCAACCGGAATTCAGAAAAACTGATATATCCCCCAATAATCTTTTTTTTTTTCTTCCTTTTTGCTATCACAAAAAAAAAACCGTGGTCAAAAGGAAACTGTTCTATTGAAAATTTCAGGGCTGCAAAAGCAAACAGAAAGTAAATCAATAACAAATACAGAAAGGACAAACAAAACCTACATCAAGTAATAAAGTTTCAGTGTCGTCCAGATAAACCTTCAATGTCCCTCAGAGTGACTGTTCTTAAAAAATACCGGTTACTTTTATTGTCCTTACCCGTCTATCTTGCGCCTTCTTGGCCGCTTTCATGCTCTCTATTTCTTCCTCATGCTCTTGCTTCAGCCGTTTCTTGGTGAGCTCAATCTCTCGTCTCGCTTGCTCATACTTGCTTCGGTAGATGGAATCTGAGTTTTAATAAAAAAAGAAGATGGCTTTCTTACTTCGTCAAATTCAAACAAACATTTGGCTTTCTTTCGCCAGTTTTTTAAATCAAGAGAACCCCCACCCTTCCTGAATTTCAAGCCCCACCCTTTGACTAACCCACTTGCACCTGCACTATTGCTTCTTATGACGATAACCCCTCCCCTTTAGGTTTTAAGCTCCCCCCATCATTTCTCACCTTCCTCCTCATCGCTGCTGCCCATGTCTCCATCCATGTACGAGGACCGCATCATTCTGGACTCCATCACCTCCATGTCCAGTCGCTCTGCCTTGCGCTGCAGATTCCCATGGGCAACCTGAAAAAAAATATAAACAGATTTATTATGCATGGCATTATGATTCCTTTTGTCACAGTAACAACCTCTCATAGACTTGAACACAGTTTTATGTCTGAGGACTGTTTCCAAAAGATGTCCTTTAGAGGACAACAAAAGAAAAAAACTGTCCTCTGAAAGTAGTACCGGTACAGGCCAATATGTGGACAAGTGTTTTCAACTGTAAACCTCCCATTGTTTAAGTTGTTTGAAAATATTCTAACTGGCTTTGCGCATGGTTTGCAACAGTGGACCTTCACATCCAACTGAGGACTCTATAGTCCTTACTTATCATGAATGTTTCGTGAATATATGCCTATACAATCTCACATGCACACATGAATAAAAAGAAACAATACAGCAAAATGTGTTAGCTCTTGCACTGAATGTCGGGTAGCATGCACAATCTTATCTAAACGATCCAACTTGGAGAAAATCTTTTACACTTGCCTACCTTCAACTCTTTTAATTCCTTCTCCAGTCGCAGCCTCTCGGCCGTTTCCCGCTCTAGCATCTCAGATGCATGATTGGCCGTTGTGTGTTCCTCGGTAAGATCGGCACTCATCTCCGCCAACTGGAAAGGGAATAAAATGCCACACGTTGTTCCAACATCTTCAACACTGTTGCTCTAACTTTCAATTGGAACATTCGAACCTGTTACCAATTTTTTGGTACGGTTGTTTGTATGTACATGTATGTTTTTCGTACTCTGTAATCTCTGCGTAACACTCCTGACCAAATTCTCTCCAACAACTGTTTACAATTTTGACCAAAGAAGCTTGGCTTCTAAAACTGTTAACACACTACACATGCCAACAAAACTCTGGTGTGAGGAACACGCTTTACATGTGCACTGTACATGCAAAATTACACGTCCATGTGACCACATGTGGTTGGAGAGACAAATAGCCTAAATATAGAAGCACGTCCGTCCCTGGGGAAATCATGACAGGAAAAGGAAGGGGCGGGATCTTGGGGGGTGTTCACTGCAAGTCACTGAAGGAAGGAGGAAGTTGTCTGTGTTGGAAGGGACAGAGAGTAGGTGACCTGATCTCACAAAGCGAGTCTTAAGGCCACTCTTCAGTGCTTTACTCTCCAGTCTACATTAGAAAGAGCAAACCGAGCTCTCTGTTTTGATGTGTCACTCAGCTTGGCAATCTGATGACATTGGACGTTTATGTGGGCGAGAAATGTTGAGGATTCTCATTTCTTTACAAAGTGGAAGACTGTTTTGGAAGCCCCCATCTCAACGAGGGCTCCAGCAACATGTGACTTGTTTTGTTAGGTTGGATCATGTCTCAGTTTTGTGCAGCTGACTGTATCTTATAGTCCTTGGTGTTTGGTGTTGTCTGCTGAGGAGGCTCCAGGAAATCACTGTATACATTGTGACATGGTACCAATCAACATACATGTACATCAACATAGCTCCTACATACATGCAAATCCCCCGGGTACATACTCCCCCAAGAGCTGAGGTGGTATATAGGAATGTTTCTGGGCCTAGTGAGCAGGGTAAGATGGTATAAAGTGCATTGAGAGTCTGTCGGTGCTGAAATGAGCTGAATATGAGAACCTTCATGTCATTATTATACTGAGTAAATCTTTATGAGCGTTATGAGGTTGGCATTTTTTTTTTCAAGCTACTCAACTCTTTCAGAGCACTGACAGTACATTTGGTAAGTCAATGACAAAAACCAAAGGTAAACATTTAAATCAACCAAACATAAATGCTGCCCAAATTTTAAATTGTCAATTTTATCGAGCACAAATGTTAGAGACCGGGGCAAGAAGTACATGTAACCTCTGTGAGATTTGCTTTCGCTTCTTCTTTATATAGTCCCATTTAGTGCACCAACAAGTAGAGGAAAAAACCCAAACAAACACAAATAAAAACTGGCCTGAATCACGAGTTTCTGTAGGAGCTTACCCTTGCCTCCATCTTGTCGTGATTGTGCTTCAGCACGTTCCGTTCTTTCTCCAACTTTTCTACTCGTAGTCGTAATTCTGTCAGCTCGTGCTGCGGTAACAAAGAAGTTCATCCACAAACTTACAGTTAGCCTAAACTTGTTTTGCTTAAAGAACATCAGAAGATAGCACGGATTCATACAGCACGGGAGGCACATTTTGAATGTGGGATTTTGCTGGAAACTGGTGGGAAACACAGGAACATCTTGATTATCCAAAATCAGAAATGTTTGAAAGAAAATTATTCAGATGCCAGAAATAACCTAACAACACGAGGATACCAAACTCACACTTGCAACATTTCTCTTAATTTGTCCAGATGCCCATATCAACCTTTTGGCTATCAACACAAAGCTGCAAGAAAATTGCTGCAATGTTTTCCTTCCTGTGATTGAATGTTTGGAAGTGTCACACGCTTACGTCCTTCATTTTGAGTTCCTCCTCTGTTCTGTGGACGTCTAACAGCGGCAGCACCTTGGTTACCAGTCGCCACCAGGGCCAGGTGCGAACAGCAAGGAACTTGCGGACATTGCGCTGGATGGCGGTGATTGCAAGATGCTGGATCTATAAAAATTCAACAAAAAGCCCCGACATCAGTTTGAGATTTCTGTCTTTTTTGTGGGCCACATTCTCTTTAAGTGTCTCATCGTCTCATCATTTTCTTCCTCATCTAATCTGGAAACCTGAGGGTGAATAACTTGAATCAGTGGACTACATGAGTTTGGTGAGCACAAAAAGATTTGCCTGCAGTGTTAGTCAGCTTGCCAGTCAAAATATCTGTGGACGTTTACGGAACGAGTGGCTAAGGATTAGTCTTCGCTGGCTCCAGCCTTTTGAGGAGATTTCGACCATGCTGACTGGAAACAGTGAAACCAAAGACTAAGCCGAAGCCATCCATTTCGTAAACGCCCTGCGATTTAACTCTTTCCCCCGACTGGTTCTTTCTGGTGATTCAACTTCAGAAAAGAGCTGCTAAGCTGAGTACACTGCTTAGCCCACTTGCATGTGGGTAATTCCAGAAATTAGGGCTCCATTTTTTTTCTTATCCCTGTCACATCTGACATACGATTTTGTAAGTTCAGAATGCATTGTGTAGTTTCCAAGAGTGTTGAATTAATGCAAATTACCTGCCCAAAAACAGTAATAGTTTGAAATCAATGCCAGTAATATCTCCATGTCAAAAAACAAAGATCAGATGTAACAGGGACACGAAAAGGTCATACTTTTGGACCCCGTATTTCTGGAATGACCCACGTAAGCGCTGAGTGAAAGTTATGGTAGCTGAGAACTAATCAAGGTATGTGCACTACATGGCACTGAGGCAGATAGCCAGCTTTTGCTAAGCAAAGAAGTTGTGTGCTTAGTACTTCTCTGTGCTTCAATGTCCGTGAAAGTGGGCACGGAGCATTTTCTAAACTCCTTGTCATAGCAGAAGAATGTTTGCTAACAGTAAATGAGGGCTCACTCCTGAAACTGAGGATTTTGTGCTGAGAGAATTGTTTCATAATTTCCTCTTGCACAAGTACTGTAATATGCCCAGAAAGCCGAATGCCAATCAAAAGCAAAGAATTCTCGTTAGCAAAGCTATGAAACTGGACCAAAGTCTATCTTACACACACATAATCTAATACAAACCTGATGCGTCAGTTAATTTTGGATTTTTTGCCCTGCCCGACATGTATTTTAACACTGTATGCCCAAGAGGGCTTGTGAAAAAACCACAAGTGTACTTGGGTGGGACTCAAACCTACGACCTCCTGCTTATACTAGTGCAGACGTCTTAACCACTCGACCACCAAGCTTGCCAGTGTCAGCTGGCTGGTTCAAATGAGATGTAGCAGCAGGTACCGTGAACAACTATTCCAAGAATGGATTTGTGCCGGGGAGATGTAAATTAATTTTGGATTTCTTTGCCCTGCCCAACGTGTATTTTAACAGAGTATACTCTGTGTTACACGTCGCGCAGGGCAAAAATCCAAAATTAATTTACATCTCCCCCGCACAAATCCATCCTTGAAATAACTGATGTGTCGGTATATTTCCCCTTGTAAAATATTTCTTACCTTCTAATAGGCTTCCAGAACAGAGAGTAAAACCCTCCAGATTACACAGCATTCAATGACAAGAATAGTGCGCAAATATTCAACAGTGCAAGTGCTGGGAGTGTACAGGATGTTTGCTAATTAACAGCAATGGTCATACTGTACAACAGCAATGACTAACCCATGTCCCATTGTTCATTGATCTGAGAGCTCAGAATATGGCCCACCTTGTCAAACCTGAGCCCCCTAATCTGTCATGGTGAATGTTAAGTGCACATGCACCGTTCTTCAAACAGAGAGGGTCCTCCAGTTTATTCTCTGGCAACTGCCTAACGAGATAACGTCAGGATGGGTCTTGGACAAGTTAATAAATAACCTCGCCCCCCCAACCGATACCAGGGTGGGTGATAGACTCATATCAAATCTGACGCAGATGCTGACTGCTAATAAATAATTACGGGAGTTAATTTATGATGATTCTTAAATAAAATTAGATAATTAGATTGGGTTTCATGAAGCCCAGTTGGTGAGTGGAAATACCAAATCATTTAGCAGTACAAAAACTAGATTGAGTTCACATCGCTGTTCCAGAATTATACTTACATGTACAATGTAGATTTTGTAAGTACACATTTTGGGCAGCAACACTTACCACAGAAAATCACTCTTTAAAAAACTGACACAAAACTCTCCATCCTGGGACTGGTTTTGTGATGTGACCCTATGTGATGTGACCCTATGCTGGAAGGCATATACAAGGACGGGTGAGACCTACATGTACATGTAGCACAGTTCATGGAGCATGGCTACTGGTTCAAATCCTGGTCCTGCCAATTTTCTTAGTGATTATTTTTTTCACAAAATGTACTAATTTATTACAGAGGATTCGTAATAATTGGACAAAAATCCAAGCCAAATTAGAGATGAGGTACCATCTACTGTATGGTTATTTGCAAGAGTTTAAGACCACCTGGAATTTTACCGGTATTTCTGTCACCGGCCCTGCATTACATTGCCTTGTTGAATGATAACGTAATATGTTTTTACAGTGGTGCATTAGCGTAGTGCATCAGTGTAGTTTGAATGATTTTTTTGCAAAGGCAGGTCTTGTATGAAATGTAGTCTGCAAGGCAGCATGGATAAAAAAAAGCCAGTCTAAGTAATCAAAAATAAAGAAGGGCACACTATAGATTAGACTTTTAACATTTCAAATCATGGAAATGTAGTCAAATAGCTGTGTCACCAAGATACTAAGGTTACACATTGAAAATGAACATAAGTTGTCATGATTGATTGGTTAAGTTTGGTTTTTCCTTAGGTTAATGCATTTTGTATGGGTGGTCCTAAACTTCTGCAAATGACTCTAACTCTGTCTCTTTCACTAAAAATGCACATTTTGATGGCTGGCAACAAGTACAGTGCACACCACAACACCCCACAATGTGGCTTTTAAATGCACCTGATCTAACTATTTATGTGGTGTGTCATATAGCAATGACAAAACAAATCTTGCCGTAATCTACTTATCAACAACTGATCTAGCATCATCGGCATGAATGCAGAATGTTAAATGTTGGCAATCAGATAAATACTGTGTAATTAAGTTTATCTGCGATGAGTCAAGCATCAGGGACACCCGGCCAACTCTGGCAAGTGAGAGATGAGTGATCATAAACAGAAACAGATGGAACAAATCCCTTAAGTTTGATAAGAACCCATGACCAAGCTGGACCAAGGGAAACCAAGCAAGCATTGCACAAAGACATAAACAAAAGCAAAAAAAGGGCAGCAGTTTTACACAGTTTAGCACGCAACAAACTGCCTCAACTACCTCATAGACTGGAAAACCAGTCTCAAAACAAAAATCATTGAACATTCCTGAAATCTCCACGTACTTGACCAAAGCATTATACCAGTTATAGTTAGGAATAAACACCGTAGGCCAATTACTTTGTATTAACATCAATATACTGCTTTGACCACTGGTAGGCTTCTTCACAATGAAGTGATCTTGTTAAAGAAAAATGAAAATAACATGTAAAGGTACCAGACATCAATGCCAAAATGTAGTTTCCAATTTTGGCCACTCTGGGTTGATTTTCTCTCACTTAATCTGACTAAAAGCAAAATACTGTGAAGAATTACAGTGTACCAAGTGAGAGCTTTGAACTTTGTACCTTGAGTTGTTTGAATTGTTTTCTGCCCAGGTATCCTCGACAGTAGGACTGGAACTCTGTGATCGTCTTGGCTAGTCTCTCATCCCGATGGTCCTCGAGCTTCACCAGGGCACCAGGCTTGAAGAAAATCTAACAGGGGAGATAAAAAAACAGAAGGCGAAAAGACTTCAAGCTTGGAGTGTGATCAACTGCTTGATGCTATTTGAGCAGAGTGCCACCACTGCATGTGGGAAAGCCGCTCAACTATGAATGATGTATTGCAGTCAAGCAAACGGCAAGGCCTTGCTTACTGCAAAAGGGCAAATGACTGCTCACCGATACTTTTGCCCCAAGCAACCTATTGTCTACAAGCATACGATGCAGCGTGCTGAGGAATCAGTGTTCGTGGAAGACTAACCATGCGGAACTGAACATTGTGCATAATAATGGCACACCATAGTCCTTTACAGCTGGCTTTGATTTGACACCATAACTGAGCAATGCACAAGAACAACGCTCTCATGTTACCAGACAAAAAAGAGCTGCAAGATGCTATTTCTGTCTCATACATCCACGCTCAAGTATGTCCAATTGCTCCTTCACAAAGTCAGTTATTCAAATTCAGGATTTGCAAGTTACCGGTAGATGGTAAAATGTCAAAGGTCATGTAGAAATGGTGGAAACTTTGCTCGACCCGACCGACATTTTCGGTAAAAGAGCCAGGTTTAACAGATGCGGAAAAAAAGAGAGAAAACTCTAGCTCCAGCAACCACAAGGTTAGTGAACACAACATGAGCTAAAAAAGCAATTTCCCTGTTCCCCGAAAACAAATCGCATATAATGTTTTAAAAACAACATTCACAGACAGAGCACATTGTTTTCATTGAGTGAGGTTTACAAGTAATAAGCAATAAATACTTAAACAAATATCCTGGACATTTCAATTAACACTGTGAATATCCGATACTTACATAAATACACCATTACAATGACAGGATCATACACAGACAGACATCAATGAATTTAATAGACCTACAAACCTAAATTACCCTTCAAAGCAATACACAGCTTCATACAGTTCCCTGCATACTACTGCTCTTCATGCGCTAGTTGGCAGGCATATCCATTCTATTGTACAATGACTTCAAGTGTCCTCAACTCACATTGAATGACCTGCCACTCACCGAGCCCAATATTTACAAGACTCCTTTGTCATGTTAATGGAGATCAATTGCCAGATATATGGACTTGCCCAAATCTTAAATGGTTCAGGAAGCCTGATAAGTTGCGCGTCCATGAATGGAGACAGAGAGCTGAAGACACCTGACCCTTGTTGTCAGGTTACAGAGTGGTGACATCGATACAGTCTTTGGAATTTACAAATGGGGAATAACTTCAGGTGCTCCACTGAGATGGACTGGATTATAAAGGAGCAATGATGTGGGGTAGTGAAGTTCTCTGTATTTACAGTAAATGACAAGCTGATAATCTGGACAGCTGTATCTGTGATATAACTTTGCACTGGGGACAGGATGTCGTGCAACATTTATGCAGCAACATTTGCTGAACTTGAAACATGTTAAACTTTTGCAAATTTAAAGCACAAATATTTGCTCTGACGTCCCAAAACCAAGTTCGTGTTGCCTTTCATTTTAAGTACAAACTGGCCTATTCAGTGCATACATGTACATGTGGGTGTACGTATTCTTATCAAAAGTATTCCACTGTGGTATCTCCGTGAAGTCCAAGCATCCATAATGCATTTCATTTGCCAAAGAACAAATAAACTGACAGGGGGTGCAATCTATGGGCCAATCGTATCTAGATCCTCCAAGGTCTCCTAGCAACCAATTTCGGAACCTCAGGCAAGGCGCAAATAAGTCCGGTAACCCAACACCTCCATGGACACAGGTATACACCAAACAGTTACCTGACTCTGAACAGAATTTTAAAGCGAAAGCTTACAAATCTAGATCTGCTTGTCAAGCCTCAATCATAGGACTTCTTATCAGAAGTTTAAGGGCTTACATTAATAAATAATTCAGTTTTACTCAAGCATTTTACAAGAGTATTTTAGCATGATGAATAATAACCAACAAAAATAAAGAAATCAGTACATATACAGGGCACACATGTATGTGTAGGTGTAGGTGTACATGTGCATATGCGGGCCTCTCATTTCTTGCAAGTTTTACACCTTAAGGATAAGGATCTTATTTTCCTTTGTTCATTGTTTTATAATTACATTCATCGGGTTAATGTATGCATGCATGAGTTTATTTCCATTTCTCTGTTGGTTCATAAAAGTGGGAGAACTATGGTCACTCAAAGCCTTACATATGAACATGTACAAATGTACACCAGACAATACTTAACAATACATGTATGTAATTATAGAGAATGGACGTATTTTTATAACAATACCAGCATATTGACACATTACTGTGAATTATTTCTACAACACATGCACCAATTAGCTTGTGAATTAGTGATGCAATTATGCAAATATGCATGAACCCACCTGATCACTGGGCAGTGCTTGGTGTGGTTCGTACCGCGCCACCCTGAGTTTGACGTCTTCTCTGCTCAACACCACAGCAAACACTGACATGTTTGCCACCAACATGAAAACATCCGAATCAAATCAATAAAAGGACAAGCCTCCTGAGCATTGCATCAGTTACACTCATGAATATTCATCAAATAGCAAGCATAGTCACAACACCGGAGGGCTCTGATGATCAATACACTTGATGTTTCCTCCATCATAAATATGCATGACTTGCTCTCAAAAGTGAATGTTTTGACACGTCAGCCTTTCAATCAATACTTCACAGCCTGTGAGTCCCTGGGAGCTGAATTAATGAATATGCAATGAAGCTGTGTTCAAATCAAATCAATAATATTCAGCCCCATGGAGTCACCCTCATGAATATGAATAAGACCCACGCACACAGCAGTCATCATGAAGAGGCATCACGTCCTTAACAACATCATCATGAATATGGAGAGACCTTATTCGTGCACAAGACACTGCTTGATCTGTAGTGGCAATGTGTCCACACAGTGCTTCCCTCATGATCTTGATTTTCGAGATCAAACTCAGGAGAACATGGCACCAGTATGAAGCACTATGGAGAATAGCACGTGATACATGTACATGTAGGTCAGTGAACTCACTACATTACATCAGCATAATTGCAGTGAACTCCTGACGTTAGGGAAGTGCATCGCGTGTACCAACTCAACATCAACAAGAGAAGCACATCTGCTCTGCTGAGATCTCCCAGGCTTGATGCAAGAACAGACTCAAGATGGCATGCAATATACAATAATCTAATTTACGACATCCCGCTTGTTCTTCCACGTACGACGATGTAAGACTGGAAGCTTTGTGGAGCAAAGATGGTCTCAATTTCCATGTTCATCTGCAGCCAATTTCCAATGCAGGACGAAGAAACACGACACAGGGGGATGCTCATTCCCTCAGGAAATGTAAAGTGATTGGTTTCTTCTGTCATTAGACATGACAGATTTTGATCATCTGCGTCATCCAGGCTGACCACTGGCAAACAGCTAATGGAAGTGGCTACATTGCCACTATGGACAGCCAAGCTTTACTTTAGCACCAGCCACTTCGATCTGCTCTGATTTCAAGTCAAGATATTGCAACGTCTCAAATCAGGTTATCCGAAGTAGATTCTGGATGTATAATGACCCACAGGAAACCAAGACAGGTGGCCAATACAGCAAGGTGCAGAAGTCATATTTTATGTGATTTTTTGTTGGATGATGGCCGCAGTGAGCGGGCTCCTCAGCTGTCCATAGTTCATGTATCCAGTCATCAGTAGACGCTTACATGTACTCGCAGTCTTGTAACTGAGTTTGGAAACTTGACACAAGACCTGTAAAACCAAGTCTTCAATTCCCAGAGAAAATAGAAGCTCTACTTTGACGACAAATTGCACTGCTTAGTGACACCAAGCTGAAAGAGTGTATACACTAATGTAGACGCAGCACTGACATAATTCATCCTTACAAACTTGGACAGCATACATCCCGATGTGTTATTCAAATGCCACTTGTAAGCTGCTGATGTTATGTTACAAGGAAACAATGTACATGTATGTGGCATAGAAAAGAAGCCATTGGGGTTGGCAGGGTGGTGAGAAAAGCACCATGTGCTATCACACACTTCAACCTGTCATCAGGAAATCTGTCAACAGATTATGACACAAGGCCAACATTTGGCAGGGGGCTGAGATAAAGAAGACAGGAAGCTTATCTCTTTTATAAGGCTAGACCCACTGTAAAGATGTGGTCAGGCCTAGCTGGCAAATCAATGAATTATGAATCAATCCCAAGGAAAATTCCTTGCTCATTGGTTTCGTATTACGAGTGAGTTTCCCTCAGAAGCTAGAGCTTGGTCTGACCCCCATAAAGGTCCCTCAAAGTGGTCAGTGGCAAGACATCTCAATCAGCAATGGGGTCAAAGTTCACAGCAGGTTTTACAGCCAACCATTAACGCTGTATCAAAAAACATCAGCTTGGCAGAACAAAAAAATGATGATCCTGGCCACAACCATGCAATTTTATTTCAGAGTGATCTTCCATTCCCAGCGCTGCAGCATTCCAAAGCAATTGATACATGTAGATCAGCTCTCCTCTGTTCTGTAGGCAACGATTCCTGTCTACTGTTGGTCGTGCTCCAACATTTTGTCCACGCTTGTCACACCGCTACATATAATTTATGCCAACCTACATGTACATGCCAGTACGGTCACACACTGTCCCTTGAACCAAAGGTAAATGGCTTTATTTTCCGGTCCACTAGCACTTCACACGACACCCGTTCTCCAGTACATCATCAAAATCCCTTTGGTGATGTGTGTAATCATTACACCTTCGAGCCCAGGGTCCACACGTACACATGCATGTACATGATGCTCTTCACAGATGTGGTGATGTACACATACAGAACCGGCCGCACTGTTTATAAGCACAACACCGGCTGCCGTAACTGACGCCAAATTGTCTTGGCAGGAATTCATTACTATTCAAGCTGAGCAGCTTGAGGCTTTGCATCCACAAGGCTTTGGGGATTGAAACAGAGCGGTTACCATAGCAACAGGGGATTTTTTTTTAATCATGATGTCACTCAGTTCGTTTTGTCGTGCGTGGCATCCAGGCAGTACAAGCACCGTGACAACAAATAGACGGCATAAGAGTGACCATGTGTGCTCCTTGCTACAAAATGATGATATTGCTTAAATATAACATGACTGCTCTCTAAACATCAACAGCACACAGCTCCATTGCAACATGAATCAATACACTCCAGGGCTTTAACACTGTGATAAAAATGATAAACCAAAAACCTACTACACTCACAGTCAGGCAATAAAAAAGGTTTGGGGTCAAACTTACAAATTGTTGCACATTAAGCAACCCCCTAAAAACTCCCAGATAAGACCAAGATAAATAAAAAGAAACCCACCCTCCCAAAAAAAGACAATTCATGCCAGCCTTTTGGCATGAAAAAAAAACCCACAACAACAAAGCCTGCAATATGGGTACCAGCCACTACAACAGAAGGGAACAAAAAAACATAATAAAGTATGTGTGATTTGCAGTTTGCAAAGTAATGACCATCGGGCCAGCCTGTTCAAATAAACCTTTGGCATCATAAATCCCCAGAAATACGCTTTGGAGATTGGCAAAGTCATTAAACTGGATTGCCATTTCCGGAACAGTACAATGACTTTCTTGTTATTCAATCAACTTGACGTCAAAATCCATGGTGTGTAAAAGGAACGATCTTGTTTGATCGCAGGTACAGAATTTGGCAATAAAAGATTTATTGGAATATTAGGGTCGTACCAACAAATTTCAAGACAAACAAATTCACACAGGATCATTTATGTAACTGGTCACATGATGGCCAACAACAAACCAAAAATGCAATTTTCAAACATCTCTCCGGTGGAGTGAAAATTGTGATGAAAACATACATGTTATGTATTCTCCTGTATTTGTCCACGCAGTGTTATAGCCAGCCCTATTTTAGTGCAGGACAATTTAGTAATGGCAAACGGAGGGAGCGAAGCGACCGGAGTCTTGCCAGTTATGGCCAGGGGTCCCCTTAAGGGGATTCTAGATCACTTTTTTCCAGTGAGTTCTCCTCTTGAAATTGATTAAGAGTTCAATTTTTTATTAATTCTTCCAGGTTACAATATGAAATTTTCATGGTGACTAATTTTTTTTCCGGGATTTTAAAGGATTTTTGTGCCTGTTGGTGGGCTGTTTCATCAAGCTTAGTGCCAGATGGTAGAACGCTGTGGTGAAGATCTCTGATTGGTGCCAACCGGCATAGCTATAACACTACAACTGTTTCCATGTTAATTATATTTTTACAATGTAACAACATCAATATTGGCAGCTCGTAAACTACCCCTGCTAACAAGACAAGCCTAATTATCTAAATGAATTAACAATTGGCTTTATGTACAAGTGCCAAGACCTTACTGACCAGATCCACATAAGTTGTATGTATTTATTGCACACAATGCCTTTTCAAAGATTTCATTTTGATCTTACTGATGTGATCCTGTCAAATCCAAAATCTCACAATTTACTTCTAAAATTGGATTTTTCATAGAGGCCACTATAAACCATTTCACTAGACAAACAAAGGGTTAAATAGTTAACAGAAATATTGGTCTTAAAAGTCATGTAAATCTTCATGCTCAAGTTCAACTTTTGTATTCTTTTTAAAATCCTCTTTTAAAAAACATTTTCTTTTTTGGGGGGAGGGAATTTTGTAACGCAACAAAATATGTTGTTTTACCTGGTCTGAGTTACGTTAAAATTTTCATCTCTACAGTAGAGAGGGCTTAAACAATGCAAAATAATCAGGAAAATACAGAAATGGTCGGAACACAAACAACATCTAGTTACCACTGGAAAAACTAAGAATTCAAGATAAAAATAGGTTTTGGGAATCATCCTTTTTCGATTTCTATTTCTTATCGGTGGGGGCGCCCTCTTGAATAGAATAAAACACTACTTATAACACATACATGTACATGCACCGTCACACATCATTTCTTTAAAGAAACTTTGAAGTTCAAAAATTTGGTGGAAGGAAAAAATACAAGAAGGGTTGACTCACCTGACTAAGTCCGAGTCTGTACATTGAGACACCCAGATCACAATGTTTGAGTAGCTCCTCAATGGCCTATGGGAAAGAATACAAAAATGGGAATAATCCTGCCAAACAAAACACTCACAAGTGGCAGAGGTAAAACAAATCAAACTGTCTCCTGAGAACTTTTTGTGAAGTCTTCCTTATCAGAGGAAAAATAAACCGGACAGCGAAAGAAACTTGCCACTTCTGTCAAAGGCCACACATAAAAATTCACTCCATAGAAATAAACAATTTGTGTACATAAGTATGCTGCAATACCCCTTACTAATCACATGCCTAAAAGCAAGCGATCATCTTTATAACAAAGAAGAAATTGACATGCACAGCAACTTTCAGTGTACTTTCACATCAGATGCTCCAAAGTTGTTGCAGGGGTTCCATTATTCTGACTTTTAACTGGATATTTTGACGGGATAGAGAAATCACATGTATATTTATTCATTTGTCAAGTAACAGAGAAATAAAGAAAATGAAGGATATTATATCTGTACACAGTACATGAAAATCCATTGATGTGCCAAAGGAATATGAAGATTTTGTAAAAAGTAACGAAACTGTTTGAGAAAACAATGTGAACTCTTAACTTCAAACTTTCTATACTGTCAATATTTCCCTCTGGAAGTCAGTACTTTAAAGTTTCCTTCAACTTGATTAAATGGTCATCTCTTCTGACCTTTCTCTCATCCAGTACAGGCTCTGAAACCTTTGCAGTGGCTGGGGCAAGTACCTCAAACCTCCGACGGAACTCGGTGAACAACATGCTCTCTGGAAATCCTGTTTTAGAGAAGAAAAACAGGGTGCGATGTGGACTGTGCTGTACAGTATAAGATCACACTGTTTGGATTGACAAATCAGAATTGAGAACTGAAGTTTGCAGTACAGTATAAGATCACATTG